TAAATAAAAAATAAATAAATAAAATAATAAATATAACAGCTAAAGCTAAGATTGACTAAAGCTAAAATTTTAAAATATTTTAAGATTATATTTTAAAAATTTTTGAGACTTCTTTTGTTGTTTTTTTTTAGAATTAGGTTAGAGTTTAGAGATAGTTTTATTAATAAAAAAATATAACTAAATTTTAATAAACATTATAGATTTAAATAAAGACTACTTAATTTTGGCTTTAACTAATCTTAGCTTCAACTGCTAAAATAAATAATAAATAAAATAAAAAAATAACAAACAGTTTTTATAATAAAAAAAAATCAAAACTAAAAAATTAAAATTTAAGTATTTATAAATTCAAAGATTTTTAATTTAATTAAAAAAAAACTAATTTAATTTTATAAATAAAGTTAAAATATAAACTGAAAATTAAAGTAAAAAAAAATTATAAAAAAGTAGGTTTAATAAGAAAATATTAGTTAAAGATTATAAAAACAAAATCTTTAGTAAATTAAAGATTTCAAAAAAGGTAAATAGTTACTTAAACAGATTACACTTGAACTATTAGATCAAATAAGCTTTTATTAGCTTATTTTTATATAATTTTAATAAATAAAAGCAGAATTGTTAAAATTAAAAAAAAACTATAAATTATAAATATTTTTAAATAAAAAACAGGATTTTTGAAAAGTAAAAACATAAAATAAAATTATACAAAAAGATCTTTCCAAGTATACTTTTTACAAATGCATTTTTTATATAAAACCTCTTTAAGTGCATGGTATAGTTTGACTTTAATCTGTAATAGCACTATAGATTTTGTATCTATAAATGCACACCTTCAAGTGCACATTTTGAAATTTTTTACTATAGTCCCAAGAGCGTGCATTTAGAAAGTTCTTTTTGTATAATATTTGTTAAAACAAAATTACAAAATTTATTTTAAATTTAATTTTAATTACTGTATTATAAAATTGTTTGTTATACTATATATAATTTTTATACTATATATAATGTTTAATAGTATAATAATATACAAATTACTATCACGTATTTAACAAATAGTTTTATATCATTTTTTAATATATATATATTATATAAATAACTTTTTTAAAATTGAATCAAATTTATTTTAAGAGATTGCTTATATTCGGGTCTATTCTCTGCCAGATCAGAATCGGAGGGTTGTTTTTTTTATTGATAATATATGGTATACAGTGTATACCTCATCAAATATTTGGCATAACCAATGTCAAAAAATACTTAACGTATAGACGCGATAGAATTCGATATGTATATATTGGATTTTTCATGTTACATGAAATTAAAGATCTCTACTAATCATATTAAAATTAACATAATAACGATAGAGAATTGAAAATTTCGAAAAAAATTGAATTCTTTATAGTAAACTTAATTCCTGATAAAATCCAATGGTAGAGATAGCAATACTATTAACATTTCTAATATAATTTCAGATTTTAAATTCTTTTGTTGACGTATGCACGTACGTACGTACGTACGTACATAACTAACATTGTTCGTGACTTCTAACCGATTCTTCAAAGAATGTGTAGAGAACTGTTTTGCACATGATTAGACATTTTTTTGCATTGACACATATGAAAAGTATAAATTATTTAACTAAACTTTATGCATGCATGGCATTATCGGTTTTTTTTTTTTTTTTTTAAACTAAGGACCAAATAAAGGGAATGAAATGCATGTGATAATTGTGTCAAAGGAGGTTATAAATACAAGAATTTATAATTTACGGAAACATAACTGGATATACGTAAATAGTTAATATCGATAGTGATGAAAATGGAAAAATTTAAGGGAAACAATAGTAGTTATGTGTACAAGAACGTTAAGAAGTTCATTTGAATGTACAAAAATTTGAAAAGTTTTTCCGTAAAAAGGGGGGGAATAATCGAGAAAGTGACATTTACAGTAGAGTGAGTCGATCATGCCTATCATAGAATCGGATTTATCCATTAATAAATTGAGTGTTATTTTTTTTCTTGGACATAAGAAATTAGGAACCAATCACCTTCTATATATTATTTGGAGTCACTAAAATCGATAGTTTACCGCGAAACATCTCAGATAGTATAGATAAAGTTCAAAAGTTGGGTTACTTTTTTCCGGTGACACTGAATCGGGTAACAAATAAAGATGCGATAATTAGTTTGACATCACATCTCGCGAATAGGAAAGTAGGAAGGATTAGAATGCAAGAATCTTCTAAGGTAGAAAGAGAGGATCAGCGGCGGTGAAAATCCAAGTACGTACGTACGTGGTTGCATTTCTTACACAACAAAACCAATTAATTTTTTAGGTAATAGAAAAGTAATACGTACCAACATCACCAGAACAAAGAATTGTGGCGCGGATACAAATCGAACCTTGGACAAAAATATTATAGGTATTGGAAAACAATTTAGAGTAGGAAATCAAGTATGCATTTTGATAAAACAAACCTACTACACTATCTCGCTTCTCTCCACATTTCCTTCAGTTGATCACGGTCCTATCTTAATGCATCTATCTATCTAGCATAATGTGTGATATCCATTAAGAAAAATCATATTATATCTGTCTATAAAGATTCATTAGAATACCTTTACACGTGTCATTATGCTATACGATAATAGATTCCATAGATAGAATGGATTCCTTATTGTATGTATAATTCATATGGGTTTGCGAACCATGCGACGCAATGCATTATGATCATCTAGTAATGCTAGCGAGAATGTGATAAAAAAATTTGTGAATTATCAACTTGTGGGGTGAGAAAATTTTAAGTTCTGTCAAGAAATCTGACATAAAAAGAAAAAACAATTACGTTCCACTTTCTTCATCTTCGACATTTTTTGATTATTCTTTCGGATATTCCTAAAAATTCACAAATTGTATAAATTGTAAATTGTACAAAAAAAAAAAAAAAAAACTACGCTTCATACAATATCTTAAAAAGTATTTGAGCCGAGACAATCTTTTCTCAATATGAATGGATTTACTGTCCATTTCTCCCGAATAAATTGCCCCGCGCGCACATCATTAAAGATCTTTGGATTTTAACCAGGTATTGTATGATCTGGATTTATCCCACATTAGAATTTATGTTGCAATAGTGCATTAAATAACCAGGTAAGTCAAATTAAGTATGTACATACCAGTCAGTATCGGTATCAAGTAATACCTTCTTAAAAAGCCATTAATGAGGTATAATTATGATTAAGTATAGTTAAGTATAATAAGATAAAGTGTAATAGAGTTATAAAATAATAAAGTATATAAATTATATGTAACAATATAAAGTGCTGTTTTATTTCCTTACAGTATACTTCTGTCATGCAGCAGCAGCAGCAGCATGTTGGTTTATGTTTGTTTACTTCGGGAATATTCAAAAACAATGTGACAATACTTATTAGTATTATTTGTTACATCAAACACATCTCGTTATAGATCTTTCTCGATTGTGACCATTTGGCTGCATGTATGAATTTTTGTTATTTTCTCTTCCAACTTACCATTTATTAATTATAATCAACTGATTACATTGGCAATTTGCATGATATTCTCTCACGAGCGAGATTAAATCTCGTTAGTTTATTATTTTCTCAATGTTTAATTTGAGCAGAAATGTCAGATGATGATATTAATAATACAGTATGACCATTCTCTTCCGAAAAGGTTTCTAGTATAATAAAGATTGTCATTACAGTGTAAGAAATCGTCGATTCATATCGCGCATTTATTATCAAAATGGGACTGGTAATAACTCATGCATCTTCAAAATGAAAGGTCACTTGAGTCGCCTGCATGTCTTAACCAAGTTGCGATTTTCGTGCATTCTCAATAATAATCGATTCGGTATCTGTTTCCATCATATTTAAAACTTCATTTCATCCCTCCTTATCTATTTCTTGCAACACAAATTGGTCACTGGGCATGGTTTCTCTGCACGCTATCACTCATTTATCTTTTCCTCCTGTTTCCAATAACATTTATAAAGAGATACAATCGATAATGTCGATGCAAATTTAATGCGCCATGTTACTTCACATTCGCTACGTTTTGCATGTTCGGTATCGCATGTCCTAATCGTATAAAATCACTTCCTAATCCGCAGAACTATAATTTCTAACCGACTGACTATAGAACAACACAATAGTAATTTGGTGAATTGATTCTCGGTAATACAAACAATTTCACATCAATTAACCATATTTTCTCTGATATATATGATCAAATTTAGTTGATTATATCCCAATTAATAAAATGTTAATTTAAAAAAAAAAAAATTTGGTTGATTTATTTTCCCTCGTTACAATCACCTTCCAATCAATCGTTACAAAAAAAATGCGAGTGCAATTATTCAAATCCTTGGGTCAACAATATAAATAGGCCTCTTTCACGCCATTGTTTTGTTTTCCCACACCCTTTTCTTCTTTTTATCGTCCTCGAAAAAGATAGAGACTGAGGTTTTAAGAGAGAAGCAACTAAAGGGTGTGTGTCCGCTTCCTGTCCTCATAACGGAACGACAACTCACAAAGACACACATTCTTCTTCTTCAACACTTTGCCACACAAAGTCTTGTTTCAAGACCTCTTGCTGTTTAATCGTGTTTCAATTCTTGAAATCATTCGAATTCGCGACTTTTGATTTCTGTCTTTTTTAGTTTGCTCCTTTTTACTCCTTTATCGGTTCACAAAATTCTCTTGTTCCTCCACTGTTCTCTCTTTTTTAAACTATACTATTTCCTTTTTTTTAACGTCTGTGATTTAATTTTACGCTCGATATTTTTATCTTGGTTGTTCCTAAAACAATTATAACCTCATAACACGTCTCCTTAGTATCTACTGCATATCCGTTTTTATCAGCTATCTATCTATATATGTATATATATACAATATATGTATATATATTAATAATATAAATATAATATATATATATCCATATATTCGATTCATTTTTTACATTTTCAATAATTGATTAAAATGGATCTTGACTGGTGTCTGATTTGTGATCAAAAGACCCAGGTATTTATTATTACTGATATTATTGTTATTTATTGTTATTCGTTGTTATTTATTGTTATTCGTTGTTATTCGTTATTATTCATTGTTACTTGTCTTTTTCCGTCTTCATAACTCTGCGATGCATTTAATTGATCTTTACTTGTATGCGCTCTTTCTATCTTCTTCTATTATCTAGGATTCTTTATATTGCAGTGAAGAATGTCGTTTCAAAGACCATTTGTCAGCGTATGCTTATCTCACACCTCCGCCCTCTCCTCTTTCCTCTGGTTCTTCTACACCGACAAAGAGTAGTAGTACTGGTACTTCTACAACTTCTATCAGCGGTAGTCTATATCTTTTCTATAGAAAACCTTCCCCTGGTTTTCAGATTCCAGTTCATCACGAATCAACTGTTTGTGCACTACCCTTGTCTCCTTTTATGAAAAGATCACCGCCATCCACTATTAATCCTTCTAAACGACATTCTTTCAATAATGTGACCGAAATACCATCCTTGAAGACTTCAAATGTCACGAACATGTCTTGCTCATTGGACACTCAACAACACGTTTAAAGCTGTTTTACTTGTCCCTTTAAGAAAGACATTGCTGTTATAATAAAGGACTTTTTTGTCCCTATTTTTTTTTTCGTTTTATTCTTTTTTTTTTTTTTTCTCTGCATTAGATCAATTATTTTGACGTTTCCCTTTTCGGATTTAAGCTATCGCAATTTTTTTTCTCTTTATTATTACATTCGGATTTCTTTTTATTCGACAAATTCCGTGTTTTTCTCTCTTTTTTTTCTAAAAAAAAAAAAACGTTCTTCTGATAACTTGATCGCCAACAAAACCACGCAAAAAGACGAACTACATAATATATAACAAAAAAATATATATTACCGATAAACCCTATGGATAAATTCGATTTAACCTTTATTTTGTACAGTTGTAAATTTTTTCTTTCTCATTTTTATAAATAAGTTTTCTTTCTCATTTTATTCTTTTTTTTTACTCCTGATTACATTTTTTTCTTTAAGAAAAATTCATTAACTTGTATACTTTTTCCACTTGTTTTATATATGCTTTACATTTCTAAACACCAAAAACCAAACTTTATATATAAAAAATATAAATTTTATTTCTTTTACGAAAAACACATGTATTTTTTTTCTTTTGACTCGATATTATGATAAAAATAAAAAATTGGACAAAACTTAACTGTTTCGTGTTAACATTATTTCATAATATTTACCAAAGTTATACGTATTAGATTATATACTGTGTTACACTATTACAATATGTGACTATTCTCAAAGCGATCGCTCCAAAGTTTTTAAACTTAAACCTCCATTTGCGCGTAAAAAATGCAACTTTCAAGTTTTTATGTGTAGATTATCCGTCACACACTGTTTTAGCGATTTATGCGCTTGCTGAGTAAGCTTTGATAGTCAACGCGAACATGATAGCTGTGTAACATTCGAGGTCACATGAAAATGTTTATCACGCACATCTCCTCCATATTTGGTTTTGTGCGATTTAATTATATCGATCGCTTTAACGTTAATTTATTTGATTACCGTGTAAAATACCCGTATAAAATATCCCCTGGATTTGTACCATGTATCTCTTTTTTTATTATAGACAACATTTTAAGCCTTTATAGGTTCTACCACAATATCCCGACATTCAAAATCTCGAAACGCGTAATTCGTGAGAGATGTACAATACATAATTTCTATGGGGATATTAAATAATAAACTATTAATATCTATAATCTGGAGCTGAAATTGAAATTTCTTAATTTCTGCCAAACTAACATCTTATGTACCTCTAATAAAAATTATAGTCAATTTTTCTTATCCAAATAGTGACAAAATCATGAGATATTATTATATATATATTTTGTGATCATATAAAATTTCTTTGCAGGTTTGCAAAGAAACTGTCATATGATTATGAAGACAAGAATAACATTATCTCATGATTCACTAGTACAACCTTCATTATTAAAATAAGAAAAGCTACCTCTACAATTTTTATTAAAGGTACATAAAATGTTAGCTTGGCAGAAATTGAGAAATTTCAATTTCAGCTCTAAATTATGGATATTAATTGTTTTTATTGTATTTAATATCCCCACAATCATATATAGTATCACTATTATATCTCTTACGACTTACTAATTAAAGATTAGCAATCACATTAACAATCATTGTCTGACTTAAAGTTTTAATTGTCACATCGCGTGATTTTAGTATTATGGCCTATAATAAACTAAAATAAAATAAAAATTATATAAAAGTTTAAATTTTAATTAACATAATTTTTAAAATATATCCCAATATTAAACACTCTTAATATAATTTTCTTTAAAATATGAATTTGTATTATATTATCCAATCATATACTTTTATTTTGATATAAAGTATACTTAACCCATTTAATATCCCTAATGATCCCCAACAATATTAGAACTCTTCCAAGCAATTTTACATGCTGGACAAACTTTCTCATTTTGCGATGAAAAATAACGACGTGCACAGTGATGGTGAAAACGCGACTTACATTCCTGTACGTCACAACGTTGACCCTATATTACGAATTCAAAAATCTAAGCTCTTATATACGTGCAGCATGAAAAACATTAAATAATATTAAATAAAACCTTAGTAACAATATCATAACATAATATACATTCAATAAGATAATCTTCGAACTCGTCTTTCAGATAAGCTTGTAGTTCGAGAATTGTTCTTTGACTCATAGAATATTTTCCATTTCTAAATACAACAGGGTAAATTCGTATAAATATAATATTAAAAAAAATCTATAAAAAAAAAAAAAATTACTACTATGAATCGTAACTGTGATTGAATTAGCCATTTATCATCAACAAATCGTTGCAGAAGAGTTTCTGCTGCACTTTTTGTAAGAGGTGTCTTGATTTTTGAGGCTTCTTTCAACGACATAATTGAAGAGGCGGAAAACGCGTCATCATCCGCAGTCACAATAAGTTCAATCTTTTTTTGAAAATAATGATAAAATATTTCACAAGTAATAAATATATATATATTACGAATTTTATACCAATCGTTTGAAGTATGAAATCTCAACAGGAGAGTATTCGGTGGCTAATTTTGCAATTTCATCTCCGTTAGTGTTTACCTATTAAGAATTGATCGAATATCATCAATTAGTCAAAGCCAATAATATAACAATAATAATGATAAAAATAATGTGGCTCACTAGAGCCCAAACTGGATTTCCATCATCTTCTTCATGACTTCTTCGAAACTCCATATCAACAAGATTAAGTTTTTGATTAATTGTCGAGACGAACTCTTGAAATTCTTCTGGAGCTCTTTCTTTGTTTATTGACATAACGAGAATTACAAAATATAAAGCCAGAGAAGTATTTAAATAATAGATAAAAGCTCAAGTAGAAGTCTTTATTCTTCATTATTGTGAATAAATCAAACTCTTGCATAAAAAACTACCATTATTTGCGTCACAAGCTTTTGTATACATATCAATAGCTTTAGCTTCCGTGAAGAAGCGTTCTGACATAGAGGCTTGGACAAAAAGACGGTGTGCGTTTGTGTATGTCATATTAGAAACCAAAGTTTGCTACAAAATACAATATGTACGCGACAGTGAAATTTGGTAAGTCCTATATGAATATTTGAATATGTAGACACTATTCTGTGTAACGATCACAATTATCTATTAACTATTTGATCATCATAAATATGAACCCTTAATCTTTTCATGTACTTTGCTATAGTAGTATAAGTATTTTAGAACCCTTGTTTTAGAATCCCACCACTGTATCAGGAATTCATAGGAGGACATTCATCTGATTGGCTGATCGATTTAATTGCCGGGTAACTAATTTATATGCTTTAAAGTACTTTTTGGAAACTCAACGTTTCACTAACACAAAGTAAAATTTTTTATTATACATAGCTTCGAAAGGACGTTAACAAACGTTGTGCAAAATAATCAAGAGATAATCAACATCTTCGAAAAGCTTTGTTAGAAGAGAAAATTATGCCACTATTTATTTCACTTACTGGCCCATGCATTATTACTATCTGCAAGATGCAATCAACTCTTTGGAGAAAGGTAACCAAGAACTTTCTTGCTAAAGCCCAAGTTAACAATACTTTGTCAGTTTATGTTAATCTAAATGACACAGTCTGTATGACCTGTTATAACAGAATTGTTGTAAACAGTTTATTTGAATTCAAACAACATTTTCAAACTATTATAAAGAAATATAAGCCAGATATAACCAAAAATGAAGGCACAAGTATTAATACTATTTTATCATTTTCTTAAGTAATAGCAGTATTAATAAAACTTTTATATGTTTGTAAGAAAGAAAAAAAGCCTATAGTGTATATATTCAATGAATTTAGAGAACTTATAGAAAAAGAAAATATGAGATTAAAATTTTATTTTGATGAAATGTCTTGTTATCTAGATTATTATTAAAAAATAAGAATTCACAAACATAAACTAAGAAACAACTTTTATTAGTTTATTTTTTTTGTAAAATTCATAACAAATTTGTGAATAATATAAAAAAAATATTGTTATATATTTAGATTCTACTGGATCTTCTAACATTTCTATAGATACTCTTGCTAATTTAGATGTAATGATAATGTCTTATACAATTAATTAATACAAAGTGGTTATATCTGAAGAATATAAAAAAACTGTTAATTTTGTATTTACTAAATATATAAAGAATGCTATAGTATTAAATATTAATGATTATCATAGTATTAATTTAGATCAATTATTAGATACAACTACTACATCAACTGCTATACATCTGGCAACAATTCTAATGAATTCAATTATGATATAATATACAATTCTGAAGACAAATATACATAATCCTAATACTGAATTAATTAAAAAAAAATATAGAAAATAGATTTATAGAGTTTTATAGCCTTCTGTATAATAAACATTGTGAATTTCATATCATTAATAATAATACAAGATTGGAAAAGCTAACAATATATAGTTATGATACTAAGTAAAAGAAAAAAATTATATTTGTTCAATGAAAGATACAGTTCTTATAGATCTGCAAAAAAATAATCTTCATTTTTTAGATATATACATTAAAGCTATTAATATAGTCATAAAGATTTCATTTATGCAACAATATATTTAGAACAGGTATATAATTCTAATTGTTACAGATTGGTCTAGATAAATTAATATTTAAACTGCAATTTTATATTTTATATATTATTACAATCTATCTAATATTATTAATACTATATTATCTTTTATTTTCATTTTAGATCTTTTTCATGTTTTACTAAATAACTAAGAATTAGTGTTTCTTTAATATCAATATTTTTTTGATCATGTATGAATTTATCTTTAAAGATAAAAAACTGCTTGCACAGAAACCAAAACTATAGTATATAAATCTTATTTTGGAGATTTCTTATAGTACTTAGTAGGCAATTTCTATAAACTTTATAATTAAATTTAGTCTATTCTGCAAAAATACTAAATATCTTGCATTTAAAAATCTGTTTAATAATACAATTTCTTTAACTTTAAATATTTATATTATGTTTTTCTAATTTGTTAATTTTAATACTTACTTATAATCTTGTTTTCATGTATAAACAATCTTTTTTAGATTTAATCACAAAAATTACATAAAAGCATTATTAATGTTTCTTTCTGATATTTTCTATTAGAACTTAATTAATTACCTAATTTTGAAAACTATTAAATCTGAACTTCTAAAATTCTTAAATTTGACTATAAAGATATTTCAAGTTTTTTGTATAGAAGTATTCAGAAATATGATGAAGTGCAAAAGATAATTAAATATGGATGTTGCATTAACTAATTGCATCTAAATGATAATAAATTTAGAAAAAACTTTGTATATACATTGACATAGGCAGTCTATAAATACTTTGCATATGATATTATAGCATTAACAAATAAATCAGCATATTTTCTTTTATAATGTTTTTCAAAAATTTATATTTGCTTATTTTATAATAAGTTATCATTAACATTTCTATTACAGAATACTATATATTTGTTTTTAAAAAACAAAAAGCAAAAGGTTGATAATATTACTATTTTACTAACTGCAATAGAAATATCAGAAGCACTATTATGCCATCTTTTATTAGGGTTTAATACTTTATATAAACCAGATTTGTTTTGTTATTATGATGCATATAACTGTCTTTTTTATTTATCAATATAGATTTGATCATCTTAGCTTGTAAGCATAGTTATCATAAATCTTGTTATGCAAGTAACAGATTTATATACATATATTGTCTCTTGTTTTTATAAGATGATATTGATAAACATATCTAATCTTTATTAATAAAAAAAAAACAAATGTCAGAATCAAAAAACAGTATTTTCTGTGATTATAATAATAAACATCAGCTAGTAAAATATGTAGTATCTAAATTAAAGAAGGCATTATATAAATTTTTTATTTTTTTTATTTTTTTAGACTTAAGCAGTTATGTTAGTACTTTATTAAGACTTTTGAAATTATGTTTGCAATTATACAGATTTATCTAACAACTAAGTCTAGCATCACCCAGCCACCTAAAGAGTACCTAAATGCAACCTGCCACATTATTTTGAACAAAAGTAGGCTACTTGTCTGACTACTTAAAGTCTATAGTAAAAGGATCTTCTTTCCTTTTATAACAAGCCTTAACATTGTTTTCTTAGTTTCTTCATTAATTCTATTTTTTTTCTCTTTTGCTTGTTTCTTTTTTTCTTTGATCTTTTGCTGATTTGCTTTTTTTTTCTTTTTTGAATTCTTCTTTTTTACTTTTTTTTTCTTTATTTTGGTTGTTATGTCTTCTTTTTTCTCCTATTCATTGACTTTTTTACACCATATTTTTCAAACTTGTTCATAGAATATATCTCATACTGTCTTTGCTATTATTTTTATAAACTGTCATCTTGTCTTTGTATTTAGGAGCTGTGTCAGTCTGTCTTGTGTCTTTTTTGGGATTAAGCCTTTGATTAAAGCTTCTTTTATATTTATTTCTTCTGCTTTAATTTTTTCAAAAAGTATTATATATAGTATATATGGCAGAATGCAGGTTTTTTCTTCTTCTTTTAACTCTTTTCAGGCTGTTATAATAGTCACTTTTTGAATTCATTTTTAGAGACTCTGTTGTTCTTTATATGATACTAAATGTGATTGTATTTTTTTAACTTTATCTTGATATACTTTGCACTTTGTTGTTGTATATATATCTGGTCTTCTTCTATTGAGTTCTTCTAAAACTAGAAGTTTATCTATCATATACTATATAAACATATATCTTCTCATGTTACTTTTTTTTGTTGTACAATGCACTCTGTTAGTTATTTTTAGTCTTTTTCAAAATTGCATCTAATCATGAATCATGATTTCTGTTTTTGGTTCTAACTTTCTGATTGCATTTGTTTCTTTTTATTTTGTTCCTAATCTTATATTTATTACTAATTTGTATAACAATTTTGTTGACATAGCAGTTTATCTGTTTTTTCACTCTAAGCAATACTTTATCTTTTTACAACTGACTTTTTTTATTTGTATTACTTTCTCACTTGTTGTTTCCTTTTTTGTAAAGCTATCAGCTTTGTCATTTTACTTGTTCTTGCTATAACTTTTAACTTTCACTAATTCTATCTATATTCTCTTTGTATTAATAAAATCTATAATTTTCATTATTCATATTACATTTTTCTTCTTAAAAATTTTTATTTTATCTATTTGCTCTAAACTTTTACTAATATTTTTTATTGTAGTATTACTGTTTATATATATTTCTACTTATCTTTCTTTCAATATTGTTAATATTGCTGCCTTTATTGCTACTAATTCTGTATTATTGATATTGTTCACCCTTCTAGTTCTAATGATGTTTTTTCTTCTGGCCTCTCTTGCATTTCATTTGTTTGGATCCATCTTATACTCATGTTTCTGCCTTGTATTTTTTCTTTGTTCTTTATATTTGCAGCACTATCTGTATATATAATATATTTATTTTTGTTTCTTGATAAGTTTCTTCTTAATATCTTCAGGATTTCTTGATTAATGTTCTTATTTGTTTTTGTTACTTAATTATCTTTATTTCTAACTCTTTTATTATTATTAGCCCTTTGAGTTTCTGTTTGCTATTTTTTAGCTTTTCTGTTTCTTCTTTTTCTATTAACTGATTTATCACTATCTTGATCTTACTATTCCTCTTTTTATCAATATATTAGAGATTACCTTAATCTTGTTATTTATTCTTATTTATTGTCAGCAACTGTCTTTTTTCTGTTCTTCTTCTGTGCATCTGTCACATCTGCTAATTTCTATTGCTATCTCATTCTTCTTATTTTGCATTTGCCAATGTTTTAGTAGAACCTTTTTCTTTTTCTTCTTTATTATTTTTTCTAATTGTCTATAGTCTTGTGCACCATATATTATTTACTCTTTTTTTTTTTATCTTTTAATATAACTTTCTATTTTGTTTTTATTGCTTGAGTATTATGTCTGTTTGTCTTAAAATGTCTTTTGATTTTTCTATTTGTTGGCTTTTTAA